CTCGCGCCAACGAGCCCTTCCTTGGGCCCCGCGCGGGGAGCACCGGGCCGGGCGCAGTTCGCCTCCTGCTGGGGCAGAGGAGTGCGCGTGTGATGGGCCTGAGTGGGGGGAGAAGGGCGGGCGGCGTCCCCGGCCAGCCCTGGGCGCAGCCCTGCTTCAGAGTCGGGTGGGAAGGGGACCGTGAGTCACATTTTTAAACTCCGAGGAGCCTCACGTAGTGGATGCGGTAGGACGACTACACAAGGCCGAAGGTGGAGACCATGGAATTGTCCGTGTAACCTCTGCGAGCCTTAGCTTCCTCTTCTCTACAATGAGGTGATGGCTGAAGACTTAAAGTGGACCTATTAACGGGTACCATGAGAAAAAATGACAGTGTATGTGAAAATGCCTGGCATATAGAAAGCCCTCTGTAAATATTACTTATCTATTATAATTATCTTTTTTGCGAAATATCTTCTAGATTCCTTATAGGCCTAATTTTTGTGTGTTAAGTGTGAAGCAGACTGACTTTGATTTTTCTTATTACAAATCCTCTCTGCATTGAAAAAAAATCAATGTTAAACTAGAAAACTAAAAGATAGGCTTGCCCTGAGCGTTTTTATTTGTCATCGACGTAAATCAGATCCGTGTGCTTGGAAATCGTTTCCTTGCTCCCGCTTCTAAATGTGACGTTTGTGTGCTTCTGTCACTGAAACAAGATAAAGCCTTCACTTAACCAATCGGTGACTGGCTTTTTGGCATTTGTTTTTGCAAACAGACGTCTTTTCATAATACCTGTAGAGGACATCTCTGGAAACGGGGGAGGTGGGAAGGGGGGTGGGAGGGGAAGTTGGTTTTGATGACTCCTTTTAGCTGGAAGGAGCCTTAGGATCTTGGGTAAGCCTCCATTACTCTGTGCACAGCGCTGGAAACCAAGTTTCCAGCCCACCTTCTCAGGTGGTAACAGTTCTGATCATTCTCCCAACAAGTACCTGGCAAGCCTTCACCATTATGTTCCCCAAGAAGCCCCTCATCTAATGGAGAACCCTTTGAGCAAGGAGCAGGAAACTGTAAAGGGTAAGAGCTCAGACCCTACAGCCACGTGGCCTGGGTGCCCATCCTGTTCCAGAACCTTGGCATGGTGTCTGACATCTTGAGGCCTCAGGTTTCCCATCTGAAGAATGTTACCTGGCTCGTTTGTAGGACAACAGACATAGCACGGTGAGAGTGATGATAGAGGTTTGCTCCTGTGTTTGGTGGGTGGAGGGGGCTGTGCTCAAGCAAGCTTTGGGGAGGAAGGGGTGCCAGTATGCGGGTGCCTCCAGTTAATGGAGGGGATTTGATCAAAGCCCCAGGGGTGAGAATGCAGGGTGGTATCCACCAGTCAGTTAAAAGCGAAAGTATTGATAGCATCAAATTAGCTTTTTGGAAGATTGTGCCTGCAGTGGTGTGGGGTCAGGCGCACAGGAAGGCAGGCCCATTCGCTTGTCCTGGCAGCTTCATGCCTGCCTATGACTCCAAAGGGAAAATGGCTACTGAGCAGAGACAAATATTTTAATCCAAATTTGGAAGCTTAGAGAGCATATACAGAAGGCATGAAGAAACCCTTAACTTGTTCCAGGCAGCCTCCCCTCTTAAAAGTTATCTTCAAGGATATGCTGTACACACCTAATTATAAGGTGAGGTTCCCGCAAAAATATCCCTCTAAAAAGAGGGTGTCACCACACGTTCAAGTCTTTCCTACTACAAGGGCAGTCTCAGGTACACTGTTTCTAGTAAGATGCTGTTTAGGAAATACATATTAGGCTGCGACAGCCTCCGTTTATGCAATCAATCAATACAGCCATTCATAAATAAAAAACAGTTCTGCCCACCTGCATGGTTATTGAGATTACCAGTGAGAGCATTGCATATGGATTTGAGAAGAGCTCCATCTTAGCTGATCTGATAGATACGCAAGTGACGTGCTCTAGAAAGCCGACTGTGATGACTGAGAGCGGCTTAGGTGACCTCAGAGACCACCAGTATTGAAGATGACAGTGACTAGCTGGAGTAAAATTGTTTCATGAATTAATGTGTCATGTTGTTTAATGTATCTTTAAGTACATGTACATAAGTTAAAGATTAAGCAGACATTTGACTGTTATATCTATTATTCTCAAAGTTTTCTTTTTCCTTAAGTTAACCAAAATGTTTTCTTATTTTTCTCCCTGCAAGGGTTTTAAGGTTGTGTTAGGTTTGGCCTTACCTCTTAGTTGGATCTTTTTCAGAAATAACTGCTGCTCTGTTTCTCTGCTGAAGCAAATTTCTTTTTCTTTTCTCATTTTTTACCTTCAAGGAGATTTAAAGAATATGTACTGTCAGGGTTTGGAAAACTCTACAGGGAACTTCCATTCATTCTTCATTTAGTACTCATATAAGAATCCTAGTAGGATGTATTGAAATGTATCTCTGTCTGGTAATAATAGAAGGTAGCTCTTGTTTTTACTAACAAAATAGTAACTTTTGGAGATTTGGTGATTCAGTAATCAGAAGTGCTCTGCAAAACGTTGTAAATTAACATTTTTTAAACTAAAATGCTGATGCCTTAGTTTCTCAAAGTGATACCATGCTCTGAAACTGTGTTACCCAATACAGTAACTATTGCCCACGTGTAGTTCCTTAACTTAAATGTGATGTAGATGAAAAATTCAATTCCTCTGTCATGCTTGCCACAGTTTAATTGCTCATAGCCCTGTGTGTGGCAGACCTAGAACATTTCCATTATTGCAGAAAGTCTGATTGGGTAGCACTACTCCAGAATGAAAAATTGAAGATAATTCCTCTTGGAGATACACACGTAAATATTTTTATGTCGTTAAAGTGTCTCCAAAACCTCCCTTACTGCATTTGAATTCAGCCTCAGGAAGAATGATAAGCATAGGAAAATATGTTCCTCCTCATTCTCTGAGAGCAAAACAGCCTGTTTCTTCTGCCTAAACTGGTATTTGCCAATAGAACATACATGGAAGTTTTCTTTATGAAGTCAAACGTAGTAAATACTGTAGGTATCCATTCTATAGATTGTGCCATACTCTCTATTGCATGTTAATGAGGTTTTGTATAGAGATGATTTTTCTGTGCTGTAAAACAGGATTAAAGAAGGAATCAAATATTTGTGGTTCATGAAAATCCAGAAAAGTCATGGTCCTGGGTAAACTTATGAATTCCAAACAGAAGCTAGACAACACTAACTGAATTTTATTCTATCATTTAATTAAGGCATCATTGTTATTCAATCTTAGGAAAGTTTCACATGAGCAACATTGTGGTCTCAACATTTACCCATATTATCAAGTCCCGCCCACCCCATTGCAGTCACTAACCATCAGCGTAGTGAGATGCTCTAGAGTCACTACTTCTCTGTTCCGTGCTGAGCTGCCTTCCCCACAATCTACCTATATTGAACACTCACTTTATTTTTAATGTGAGTTGCAGAGATAGGATAAGTCCCATCCCCCAGGAATGCTCTGTCTGGGGGCACTAAAGAGCAGCGATGGCAGGAATGGGAGCCTGCACAGGTCGGCGGGAGAGGGGGGGCAGCTTTAAGCTTGGGAGTGACATAATCAGATTAGTCTTTTACTCTGGCTACATTCTGAGGGTGGTTTGAAGTAGGGCCCGAGGTGGGAGGGTATAGGAGTAGCCCAGCTGAGAAGTGATTTGTGCTATCAAATCGCAGCCGTGTGAGGATGGGTCAGGTAACAGCAATAGCTCCAAGAGGGGGTTGGCACTGCTCAGGGATGAAAGGGAGGATGAGAAACAAATCTGAAGATGATGGCTGGGTTTTTCTGTTTACTGGTGGATGATGGCATTGTTCAGCTCGCTGGGAAAACTAAGAGAAGGATGAGGTTTTGAAGGAAGATACGTTTGAGCACTCTGAATTTCAGATGTTTGCAGCATCCAGGTAGGAATGTCCCGTAGACTTGAGCTGAGGAAGATGGTCTGACTGGAGACTGTGTAAGTCATGTGGTGATGGAGGCAATGTAAAGAATGAGCAGCAGACCAGGAATGAAAGCAGGGAAGCCAGAAGACATGCTTGCAAGGCGGGGTGACCAAGGGAGAGAGTCCCGAGGGCAGCAGGAGAATGTGGAACAGTGACCGATTTGGCAGGAGTTGAGGTATCTCCAGTGTCAGTAAGGAGCCCTCCCGGAGGCAGGAAGCAGGATCAGCTGGCTGGGTCAGGAGACTGGTGCAGGTTTGGAAGGCTTGGGTGGGAAGTGGTCAGAAAAGAAAGTAGTTGGTGAGAAAACACTCCCGGAACAGCACAGCTGCCCCAGCAATCACTGGCCCTGCCCCCAGCCCCACCCACCCCCAGTTAAAACCCCTCCAGGTTCTACATTGCATCCTGAGCCCCCAGCTCCGAGCCTTACTCATGTGTCTCGAGAAAGAGCACAGCTTCTAGTTCACATGTGCTCCTGTCATTCTGTGTCTGAGCAAAGACTGAATATGAAAGGCCATCATAACTTTGAAACTACACAAAGTGTTATTTTAACAATAGTGTGGCTCATTTTTCAACTATATTTTTGCAAAGATAATCGAACGTACTTTTCATGATGGTTAATGCAAAAGCTAGATTTTTTGGATTCTACTTAGTGTGACCTTTTACAAGATACTTCAACTATTTAGACTACTGCAAATAAAGAGAACTAATATTTGAGTACCTAATAAGCGCTCTGCATGACATCTTTTAACAGAAAATGCAAGATTTTTATCTGTTTTAAAGTTAGTTTACAATTAGAAAAAATGCATTTACGTAAAAACATGTTTCTAAAAACACCTAACCACCTTTCAGTAGACGCAGCTGACTTGAGGATGTCTGTGATGGTGAGTTTGCCTGGATATACTTACTTTGTGTTCACCCACACTCAAAGCTGCTGTGTTATCCAGGGGCACTGTCCATGTAGTATTCTGTTGGCATTTCGAGGAGTTGTGTGTACCAGCCAGTGAAGTGGGCTCAGGGTTTCTCAGGCACCCCTCCACCAACTCCAGGCATTTGCACATAAGTGGGTGGGGTTAGGGCCCAGTCTGTACCCAGTGAAGGGATCTCCTCAGCTACAGTCCCATAGGATTATCACCATTTTAAGAGTGTGCCTGGGTTCCCGGTGTCTTTGCCTCCTCATATTTCTATAGTTAAGTATTAAGAGTGTGGCCATGGTTTTTCCTGAGCATTTGTTACTTTGAGACAGGCAGATGATCATGTCCTGATTTTATATAGCAGTTTTGTAGAAGTATTAAACAGTAGGCAACTATTCACATATGAGAAATAGATACATTTTGTGTCCCAATCCTTATTTAATTTCCAGAAGTACTAATAATATGACATGAAGAGAAAATATGTGATCATCAATTTTACCTTTAAAAGTTATTACGTAAAGTGAAAATCGTAAGAAATCCTGAAACTTGAACAAAGATGTATTCAAACTCAATTTAAACTTAAAAGATTTTATAATTATGGGAAAATCCAAACAGTTAACTTGAAATTGTAATGTTGGTCTCATATCTGAGAGTACATGGAAATAGTTGAGGGAAGGGAACTGATTTCTCTCCAAATTCTCATCATCAGTCATTATTTCATTTGAAATATGTGTGCATTGGAATCACGTCCAGTGAAGTCAGTTGGATCCTGTCTCTAGTATTTCAGTTGCATGTGGTTGTAAAGAGAGTTGCTGGTGGCCGTCCTGCCCTCAAGGCCCTTGACCCTGCACGAGGCTCACTGCCCACCCTCGGGGAAGGTCCCTTGTATAAAAGGTGGTTTGGATTCAGAGAAACTGCCATTTGGGGGCAGCTGCTTTGGGAAAATTTATCAGAATCAATATTTGCAAACAGGGTTCCTAGCAGGGTGGCCAGTGCTTATATACTCTTGTTCCTTCTCAAGTCTTTTCTGCTTATTCTTCCAAAACTTCCATTTTTCCCCTCCCGTTCAGACGTGCCTACACATTGTCCCACCCGGAGGACACTGTGTCATACCAGGATCAGTTCCCTCTGTCGGTTTTCCTGTGTCTTCCACGTGCTCGGGTTTTTTCCTGAGAGAGGAGATCGCTCTCCCCCATCCCATTTGAAACACTAAGGGGGACACATGGATATGAGCATGTGTTCCCATGGCAACAAGAGATGGGCAGTAAAACATCTGGGGAAGTTTAAGTCTCAGCTAAAATGAGAGGAATTGGGCTACTTTTGAAGAGTTTGAGTCTAAGGGCTCTTAAAATTAGATAAAAAGCAGCTTTAGCAGGCAGTGTAGGGGTATGTGGTAGTGAGGGCAGAGGAAGCCAGTTGGATTGACTAGTCCTGGCTTTAGGCCAAAGGGTGCAAGGGCAGCACTGCCGCAGGCTCTATGTGCATTTACAGTTTTTTCTCTAAATGTAACACTGAATAAGAATCGCCAGGGCTGAAATCAATACATGCACACTCACAGGAGATTTTTATGTGTAGCCAGGTTAGAGAGCCGTAGAGAATCACTGATACAGTCAAACCCATGCAGGTGTAGTGCTGACTACATCTTCCTTGGTGGACAGGTGGACGAATGCTTAGAGCAGGAATCCCCAGTTCAACGTATCAGAATGTTTTGAACTCTCTTTGGTAATCCAGAAAGTGAATGCATAGACAATCTTTCTATACACATCGTTTAAAATATTTATGGTGTCCTAACATTTTATATTCAAATGTAGATGCATATGTTTTAATGTGTGTGTTTCCAGCCTTCATTGTTTGCACCACTGTATGACTTTCAGAGAACTGAAAAATACATCTTCAGAGTATATTTTTAAATGGCTACCACTAATCAGTTGGGAAGGAAAGGATTATTTGCAGATTGTTTTGGAACAATTTGTTGCTACAGTATGTAGGTAAAACAATTTGATTATTCAGTGCACATTCCATACTAAAAGAAACTGCAGATGGATCAAAATTGGATACAAATTAACTTTTTTTTTTTTTTTACTAGTTAACTTTTTAAAGCAAAAAAATAAATAGCAGACTTTTGGAGTGGGGGGAGTTTAAAATCTTAAAAAAGAATGGAGATACATCCAACTAAATGACCAGAAGCAGATCTTCCACATACAAAAAGCTGGAAGCTGGAAGCCCTTGGTTTAGAGACTGTCACTCTGATAGGAACAATCACATGTGTATTGATGATGTTGTAGGCGTTCCAAGATGGACACCATGCTTTGGTTTTGGAAGGAGGAAATCTTTCCTCATGACAGAGTGAATCTAGAAAATTCATCCAGCTGCCCCTCGTCATCTCGCGGGCAGGCTTCTTTACTTCTGGCAAAGCAGTGTTCGTGGCCTCTGGCCATATCAGGGGTTCCTGCCATTCTTAATAATAAATTTAGTAGTCAAGGAAAATAGTCCTTTTTGAGGGGAACTCTCAAATTAGCTGGAATTATCAAAAGTAACTCACCCCGTTTGGCATACGTCCTGCCATCTTCCTTGCCTTTCTTACAAGAATTCATGAGACATTCCAACACCGGTACATAACCCTCTTACCATTTTGAAGCTTTTCTGTACTCTCAGGACAGAATAAAGAGGGAATGAGAGAAATAATATGACACAAATGAAAACCCAATGCCCAAAATCTCAACGTAGTGCTGGTAGCCTTTTCCTGACTATTAAGAAGAGGCATAGCATTCCTTTTCCCCATTATTCTTACTTTCTCAACACCTGTTTCTCTGGCTTCTGAATGTCTCAGGTGTTTGTGTACTGCCTCCCGCCTGCTTTTTTGGCTGGTTCTCTGCTGATGAACTCCTCCCTCACAGAGGAGGCAGGCCAAGTAAAAGGCCCTGGGGTTCAGCTGGTCCGGTTTGCTCTTGTTAGCCTCTCTAATGAGAAGTTCCATCAGGCCGATTGAAATCATGGTAAACCGAGTCTAAGAGTGATCTATGGGGTTTCATTATTCACACTATTACTCTTTTCTGTGATTGGCGTGGGTTGTATTATCATTGGAAACATAGACACAGTGGAAGACAGCACCAGACTGGTAATTCAGGAACTTGGGTTTTGTTCTTAACTAGGTCACGTAGCTAGACTTGTGGCTCGGCTTTCCCTCCTTATATTTGCTCGTCTGTGACGTCCCGGTCGGACCAGATGGTCTGTCGGGTCCCTCACAGCTCTGTGGTCCCCCGGCTAGGTCATGAAGCGAGTGCGCACGGAGCAGATTCAGATGGCCGTGTCCTGCTACCTCAAACGCCGGCAGTACGTGGACTCGGACGGGGCCCTGAAGCAAGGGCTGCGGCTGTCACAGACTGCCGAGGAGATGGCGGCCAACCTCACAGGTAACCGTGCTGGCCGCCCCTGGAGGTCATGCCTGAGGGAGCCAGCCGGCCGTCCAGCATCCCAACGGGCAGCACCGGATGGATGGCTGGTGCTGGCCTCAGAAACACTACCTGTCCATCACAGCCATACTAAAATGCCACTTCTAAACACCTCCTTATGCAGGATGTCATAATATAATATGATTATGATTTTAGAAGGAATGTAGTCCTCCTACAAACTATTATCCTACAAGGCCCCCGTGGGGCCAGGGTTTCTGTCCCTTCTCCTGTAGCCCAGACCCTAGCCCACGATGTCAGGTTTGCCGGGTGAATGATTACTGAGGGTCTGGAGTTGGAAATACTGGCCTCATAGATAGGTTCCTGAGGTTTTTATTATTTGCTTTTATTTTTTTGCTGTTGCTTGTGTCGAAACTGGATTTGTTTTTAGAAAAATTTGTCTTGAATCCATCTGGAATAATAAATAGCTGTTACTCAGCTGGTTTGTGAGTTTGGGGTTTTTCATGATGCAATTTTCTTATATTGAATCTGTGCACTGGAGATTTTGGAAAAACTCTTCAGGGTGATGGTGTGCCACTTTCCCAGCTCTGGGTAGAGGTCAAGGTGGCAGTGCCCTCCCTGGCCCGGCCCTGGTCCTTCGTCTCCGCCTAGCCTGGACTCTGGTTCGTCTTTGTTCCTGTGCTGCCTTCTGCCCTTCTAAGCACCTGTCACCACCTACTCCGTCCCTTAATGGTTTCACCCTCCTGACCGGGAGGACCAGCCACTTCAGTTTCTTATCACCTTCAAAGATTCTTCAGCCCTGAATCCACACCATTCTTTTCTTCCTTCAGACCCTGACGAGAACAACACAAGAACAGGGCCAGATGATGAACTTGGACTAGATTAATAAACGCCCTACTGTCTCTGAAGGATGGTGAACGTACAAAGCCAGAGTAATTCCTTCCTTCTAATACCACAGCGTTTAATGTGCATTAATAATCTGCCGCCCTGTGTTCATGAGATCCTGGGGCCAGTGATTCTGTGCTGTTGATAGAAAATAGGAGCAAGCACTATTAAATAGCCTTTCAGAATTTCACTTTTCTGAGCTGTCTTAGTTCAGATATAATGTTTTATTAGGGCAGCCACTGCTGTTCCTGGAAAACTACCAGGAAAGGTGAGAAACATGAAATATGATTATCATAAGATTTTGTCCTAGGTCTTTCTGTTAATTAAGTAATCTGAATAAATGTGCCTTCATTCAGCTGCCCTGTACTGAACATCTGTTGTAGGCCAGATGCTGAAAAGTTCTGGAAATAACTAAAATTTGATCCCAGCTCCTGAGGAGCTTCACACGGTAGTCAGCAAGTGAGATGGACATCAGTCATGTTAGAGGGTCTGATGTGAGGGGGGCGCCTCAGGTTCTATAGGAGCAATGAAGACGGCCATCTAACTCAGCCTGGCAGGTCCGGAAGAGCTTCCCAAAGGACTTGTGGGTCCTAGTATATGGTCAGAGGTCCGTAAACAGAAGGAATGAGCTGAGATTCAAAAGAACCTCTAGAAGCTCCCTGGGCGACACAGCCACCAAGGGGATCTTTCGAAAATCCACACTGGGCAGCTCGGACACCCAGCCACCTCCTCTCTCCTCCCACAACCACAAAATGGGTAAGGGAGTTTTGGGGGGTTTTTTGGAAAGTATGTACTCGCAGAATGGAGATTGAGTGCATGCTTGCGTGCTGAATACTGAGGCTTCAGTCTTTTCCTCCCTTGACCCATACCCCCACGAAGGTGACAGCGGTCCCTCCCTGGTGCATCTGACCTGCCTGGGGGCACCGCCCGTGTCGTCCCGGGCAATGAGAGCAGAGTTTGCGTCAGTTCTGCAGCGCCTCCCTCTCCGCTGTGAGGGAAACTTACCCACTTGCGTGAAAAACAGAGACGGAGTGTTACAGAAGAGACTCAGAGAATCAAAGAGCAGAGAGGAAAACCAGAAATACTGTCACTGATAACCTCGGACCTAGAAGAGAATGATCTTTTTTTAATAAAAAGAAAAAGAGAGACATTCAGAGAACCAGAACTTTTGATACATGATAGTAAAACTGCAAAATCAGTAGAAGGCCTGCATGTCAAGGACGTGTCCCAGAAAGTAGGGGGGAAAGACAAAGAAATGGGACATGGGAGGGAAGATTAAAGGATCCATTCAGGTCTAACCTTGAAATAATAAAGAGTCCCAGAAAGAGAAAATAGAGAATCAACAAGATATTTCAAGAAAATTTCGCATAACTGATAGAGTTTCCAGATCGGGAAGGGCCACTAAGTTGCCAGCACAGTGCTTGAAAATAGATGGGCGCCCAGGTACATGATCGTGAAACATCTGGGCGTGGGGTCAGACGCTTCTAGATGGGTCGCTCATGAACTTACATGCCTGTCCTCTGCCATTCAGCCTGTTCATCCTGTGTTTTGTATCTCTCATTCCTGTTTCATCATTTTCTTGGGTATCAGGGGGGAGAGGAGATGCCTGTGTGTTGGTCTGTTACTTTTAACCAGAAGCCCCAACACACTTTGAAAATCTACTTAAGTGTCTGTTGCTATTGATGTACGTACACTATTCCATCCGCCCTCCCACATGTTGGATTTACGGTTGTCTTTCCTGTCCCCCATCCGGTGGGGCTTGTCCTCGCAGTTCAATCAGAATCTGGCTGTGCCAACGTCGTGTCTGCAGCCCCTTGCCAGGCCGAGCCTCAGCAATATGAAGTACAGTTTGGACGGCTGCGGAATTTTCTCACTGGTAAGTACTCAGCCCTAGGACCTTTTTTCTTGTTCAGAAAGCACCATGCAAACTCCCCAGAACCTACCGTATTCTCGGTGTGGTGTAGGTACTGTCAAGTCAAAGGGAGTTTAACATCATCTTTACATTCAAACTTAGGATGTGTGGGAATGCCTGAGAGGGCTAAATCATGAGGCTACAGTTTGCAAAGGTGTGGCTCCAGGTTTTTCTGTCACTGTTCTATTCATGGCCTTCGGTGCAGTGGCTGGCCTGGTGTGGTCGAAGTAAAAGCTGAAGCAGCCACAGGAAGAAACGGCCTCAAATGCAGTGTGTTTGAGATGTATGTGGTTGTTACCACGGATAATGTAGTATTGCCTCAAAATGAGTTTGTCCCCATTTTCCAAAAGCACAAGGCAGTAGTCCCTCTGAATCAGCAAGACAGAAAAATGAGAAGTTGGGACTGGTGTCATGACCACTAAGACACAAAATCGCTCGATTGAGGTCTAATCCGTCCTTCTGACTCACTGTATGACTTTTTAAATGGATCACTTTTAAAAAGCGGGCTTGTTTAGCCTTTTGGGGGCCTCTCTTTCCTAATGTGTGAAATGAAGAAGGCAACCCAGAGGCCGAAGCGAATGCTTTCACCCAGTCCCAGATGAGTGCTCACGATTCTAACGTGGGAAAGGTTCTCGCAATAGCAGGCCATGTCGTCTCTGGGGATTAATCAAAGTCCTTGTATAGTACTTCCTTTATACAAAACACCTTGAGGTATAAAAAATACAAAACTTTCTCTGACCTAAGGGGGATTGAGAGCAATTAGTAGGTATTGGTTAGCGGGCAGTTGTTGTTGAAATATTTTGCAGTTGTTTTATTTTTCTGTTTTTAGTTGAAAAATTCTCAAGTTAATCGTTTTTAATGGTAAAGATGCATATAAGGTGATGGATATATAAACCAAAATAATATACTTAAACCCTCTTAAAGTAAGTAGAAATAAATAATGTCACTTAGATCCTCAATGGTTAGTACTTTAAAGGAAAATCCACATTTCTTGTATTCTGTGGTTGGGGGAAATGGACAAAATACTGCAGGAAGTAAAGGTGACAAGGTTAAAAAAACCCTCAGAGGTTTACCTTATCAGTGTCACAGATGTTGAGCGATGGCATTCATAGGCAGGGAGGAGTCTGTTAAATGGTTAAAAAAATGAAAAAGTCTTGAAAATTAAAGTCTGTTTTAGTAAAAAGAGTCTATTATGTTTAAACTGGAAAGAAAGAACCTCCATTAATATCCTCACGTCATATGTATGTTAAATACCTCAGAACAGTGATCAGCCACTTTCCAGCCCCAATCAGGTTAAAAAAAAAACAAAACACCAAGTTTATAAGAAGGATTTCCTCGGGAGGTAAGCAAGAACTTGGAGATAAGTTATTTTTAATCATTGGCACTGGTTTTCGAGGCTTTAAGCAAAGAAAAGCAATTTAAACCCGTTTTTAGGAAGTTACTCTACCTGTTTTTTTCCCAGCAGGATTAAGTTTAAGTCTCCATGGTAGATTTCTCTCGCCAGTAGGGGTGGAGAAGCTCGTTTAGGAAGAAACGCCTCCCGTCTCTCAGCCCTCCTCGTTTGGCCCGTATCTGTGCTGAGCACTGACTGCATGCCGGGCAAGATAGGCGGAAGAGCAGACCGCCTACGAAGGGAGGCAGACAAAGCCAGTGCAAAGCCCCAGCGCGTCCTAGAGACGCTGCAGGAACTCACGCTGTGGGGGGGTTCTCAGCATGGCTGTGACCCACCTCCGTTACGGGGGACACTGAGATGCCCATTACACAGTGGCATTATCCTAGAGACGCTGCAGGAACTCACGCTGTGGGGGGGTTCTCAGCATGGCTGTGACCCACCTCCGTTACGGGGGACACTGAGATGCCCATTACACAGTGGCATTATATAGATCTTTCTTTATTTAATCACTGAAGTGGTAGTTATAATAAAATAGACTTACTGGGATAATTTTATTACAAGCTATGAACACTTTTGCAGCTAAGAATTAATACATTTAATTGCTCACGCACGTGATGCGCCCTGGTATGGTTTTCTCTACTTGTCTCTCTCGCCCCAAATTTGTCCCTTTCGGCTCTTGATGTGTTCCTTAAATATTTCCCAGAGCTGTTAATGAAGAATAGCCGCCACCTCCTTGTATTTGATGGTGCTGTTTTATTCCTAATACGTGGCGCCTTCCTTTATTCTCTCCCCATAGTTTCCTTTGTTGAGAACTTTACATTTCTGTAAATTGTAACCTGTCAACCCTCTCCTTTGTGATTTCTTAATCTTACTTCAAAACTGAGAAGGTTGTCTATTATTTTGCCTGTAATTTAACATTTTAACCCATTGGTCACAGGTTATTTGGAGGGGGTGAATATATGTTTTCCTGATGGGCTGCTTTTCCTGCAACATTGTTCTGTGCTCTCAGGTCGCTAAAGAACGTTCAGGCCAAGTCAAATGAACAAGTATTTCCTGAGCACCAAAATAAAGTGTAAGATGTAGTCATTCACCTAAATTGGAAGCTAATCCTAACATAAGAGGCCAAAAGTAAAAGTGGTTAAGTAAAATTTGAAAGTACAACCACTGACGTGAGCGTCAGTCTGGAAGCAGTTGGTGGCCGCATCTGTAGGGTGAGTAGGGGGCCAGCCTACGCCCTGCAGTGCTTGAGAAACAAGGCGAGGACGGAGCGGGACCCAACAGTGTTGCCCGAAGCAGGGCTTGGTTCTGCGGTCAGTTCATCAAGGTGAAACCTCCAAGGTGCAGGAGTGAAGGAAGAGCTGAGGATAACTCGGGCCCTGTGACGAAGGGCACTTTTAAGGCATAGAGAACAGAAATAAGGCAGGTTATCATTTTCATGTTGCTGCGATGGTGCCATCCCCCTGTGTAGCTTGTAGGAAATCTGAGGTTGGGATTAAGAGAAAGATACAGGCTTGTGATGAAGAACTGAGAATTGGCTTCGTGGAGGTGCACATCAGCGTGTCAGGAAATGATAAATCTCAGAGGAAGATACGGAGAAAGATAAGAGGCCCCAAGGTTGTAGCCCCCGAATGTGTTTTCCCTCCAGAAGTCATCTGTGGGTGGGCGCTTCTCGGAGCTTGCCGAGGGGTGGGCCCTCCTCTTCAGGAGGTGTACTGGGATGGGCACAGTCTGGGTCAGGCACTCTGGATTTAAACACATTCGTAGCAAAATGAGGAGGAATATTTAAATGACAGAGTTGTCATTTCCGTAACTGGTCCCGTGGCTGTAGCTGGTATTGAACTACCTCCTTCTACTACCCATTCTGTATCCCTTTGCCCTGTGCAAGCACCTTGGCCGGTCCTGGTTCTTTACCTGATGGAGCGACCCAAACCTTCATCCCTGAAGGTCCCAGACCAGTATGAGTCCTGCCTTAGCTGGGTTGCTGTAGTTTTCTATCGGCCTCAAGCACAGGGCATGGTGACACTGAGACTCCCTAAGGGGCGTCCTATGTTGCAGACATCTCTTCTTACCTCCACTCCGTTATAGTCAGGAGCAGTCTCCCCACACAGCACAGCAACTCCGTTCTTTGCCTGATGATTCAGAGGCACATGGAGCCCCCAGTGGCCTAGTGGCAGTCTTGACTTTCCAGTTCAGTGGACTCGCTGCTGTAATTTAAGTTCACCTTCAGCAGAGAGAGCATGCTGGCATCATTTATCAAGTCAGGGAGACAGGATTCCCTAATGTAGTGTTCCTGAAATAGGCCACATATGGATTCCTTTAAAAAAAAAAATGCTTGAAAAAGTGGTAAGTGATGATTCAAAGCATTTTATATTAATTAAGTATATACAAACATTTCCCTAGATAAAAAAACCTTTGTGCTTACTGTATTTCTGTATGAAACCTAAACTCATTTACAAATAATGTGCAAACAAAACCCCAAAAGCAATAAAGTTCAAATACGCAACAAGTGACTGTAACGAATGGGTTTTGCCAGATGTGCTGCTGCAGACGGGCACAGGGATGGACTGGTGGCCGTGGCCCGGGACACCTTTCATTCGTCTTCCCCACGGCACGGCCGCCCTGTCTCTGCTGGCCTGCAGGTGAAGGACTGGGAAGCCTTTGCTCCATCACTTTCACAGGCGTCAGATATGCCTCTGAGCCTGCAGCAAAGAAAGCTGTACGCTTTCTTGAACATCCTTTGTCATAAAACTTTATGGTGTTAAAGTCTCAAATTAGTACATGGTTTCATCTTAACACAAAAATGTCTCATCTGTAAATTATCACTGCAAAAGGGAAGTCTTTTTAAACAGAATCAGAATGAGGACAGTGACATGTATGGGACAGTTATGGAGAAATGCTGTCATCTTAGTGCTAGGACATGCCAGCCTGGGTAGCTAGACATGTTAATGACCCTGCTAAAATAAGTTATTTGATGTTACCGTAGACAATGGATGCCAAAGCAATCCCAAAACAAAACAGAGCACTGAAATCACATGTCAGTACTTAGTAAGTGGCCATCCAGATAATTCTGAATATATTTGTGTTCATTTTTTCTTCTTTAATGATCAAGTAAAAAACTTTCTGTGAAGAACTCATGGTCTCCTACAAATACATGTAGGGGCCCTGAAAGGTCTGAGGTCCCTCATTTGAGAAACACTAATGTATTGGGGAAAAACTACCAAACCTTGAACCCTTGGGTATAGCTACTGAATTGCTGTGAGAACTTAAGCAAGTCACTTAACCTCTCCAGGCATCAAATCCCTGATTCGTGGCTGCCTTGAAGACCAGGTTGCTGGGCTTCAGAAGCCATGCTTTCCTTCTTCAGTCAAAAGGCTTAACGTTGAGCTTCCAGAATTCTGTGTCAGGCTTATATTTCAAGCAAAGGCCTCAGAATATAGGTCCTGAAAAGAAAGTGTTACATGATGGTAGGGTACCCGGGAGAGTCACTTCATTCTGTGAGATTGCAGAGATTACAAATCCCTCTCTTTTTTTCCTTACAGATTCCGATTCCCAGCACAGCCATGAAGTGATGCCTCTCCTCTATCCTCTCTTTGTCTACCTCCACCTCCACCTGGTCCAAAACAGCCCCAAGAGCACAGTGGAAAGTTTCTACAGCCGCTTCCACGGGATGTTTCTGCAGAACGCTAGCCAGAAGGATGTCATCGAGCAGCTACAGACCACTCAGACCGTCCAGGACATCCTGTCTAACTTCAAGCTCCGCGCATTCCTAGACAACAAGTATGTGGTCCGACTCCAGGAAGACAGCTACAACTACCTTGTCCGCTACCTCCAGAGCGATAACAACACCGCCCTGTGCAAAGTCCTCACCTTGCACATCCATCTTGACGTGCAGCCCGCCAAGCGGACAGATTACCAGCTCTATGCTGCTGCCGGCTCCTCACGGAGCGAGGGCAATGGCTTAGAGTCCGCCGACGTGCCCGCCCCCATGCTGCAGAACGAGGCCGCCCTGGAAGTCCTGCAGGAGAGCATCAAGCGCGTCAAGGATGGCCCGCCGTCCCTCACCACCATCTGCTTCTATGCCTTCTACAACACAGAGCAGCTGCTGAACACGGCGGAAATCTCCCCAGACAGCAAGCTGCTCGCTGCTGGGTTTGACAACTCCTGCATAAAACTGTGGAGTCTGCAATCCAAGAAGTTAAAATCAGAGCCCCATCGAGTAGATGTGTCCCGCGTGCACTTGGCTTGTGACCTTCTGGAGGAGGAGGTAGGAACCCCCTTTTTACTTCCATTCACCTGCCTCACCTGTTTGCTTAGAGTGTCCTCACAGGTCTTACAGAGAACGGGCTTCATTTATTTCCCTCATCATGTAGCTAAACCCAAACTGATGCCATGTAACCTGTCGCTCATGCCTAACCTGGAAGAGGTGAAAACTATTTTCAGCAACATTAACTGAATGTTATTAATGAATAATCAGTACTTATTACCATCTGAAAAGTGGGTAACATAGCCGAGCCTAATTAGAGACTGTCAGCTGATACTGGGATTTACAGTAAATTGTGTGTGTGTGTGTATGTGTGTATAGTACATTTGTGCAAATATAAACACGTAGGACTGCTGGGTCAGAGGATCTACATTTTAAATCGTGATGAATTTTGTCATTTTCCGGACTCACCAACAGGAAATGAGCACACGGGCCCCCCACCACCACCCTCACCCACCCTGGGCATCATCAGGCACTTCCAGGCCGGTGCAGGGCCTCTGGCTTCAGGCGCCCCAGGGTGTCCCCACACCCCATTGAAAAGTATGGACACAGTATAGGTGGCATTTCCTCCATCACTCAACATAATGGCCTTGTTTGGGGATGGTCATTGAAAACGACAGGCCTTCAGAAATAGGTGGGCAAAGGGAGATAAGAAGTGCACTGCCCAGAGTTAAGTTCCCCTGAGAGTGACCCCCACCTCAGCTGGGGGCTGGAATATTGTTGTCATAGCACCACTGAAATTCAGGTAACTCAGGCCTGAGATGGAAGATGATGGGAATTACTTTTATTATTATTGTTGTTATTGTTATTATTATTATTATTAAGGTATCACTGATATACACTCTTACAAAGGTTTCACATGAAAAACACTATGGTGACGACATTCACCCATGTCATCAAGTCCCCCCCACACCCTGTTGCAGTTGCTGTCCATCAGTGTAGGAAGATGCCAGAGTCTCTACTTATCTTATCTGTGCTACACTGTCTGATGGAAGTTAGTTTTGATGCACAATTCTTTGCACAGGGCTGGAAGCTTAAGGAGTGAGGGAAAAAAAAGGACAAGTTTATTTAATTTGCTAAGGATATCAGGAATATTGGGTGCACAGATCAAGCCCTTTTCTCCCTCCTCTTGTTTTTTCAGTCACCTTCCAGGTAGCATGGCCTTTGAATTTTCGTTTCTTACAACTGGGACGATATAATGAAATGAGTCGGTTTTAATGAGTAAGCAGTCTGAATTCCAATGTACAAACTTTGATTTCTAGAATTTTATACTACCCTCCAAAATATGTTCTATTACACATGTCTTTGGATCACCCATTTTCTCTTTTCCTTGGAAACAGTCCTAGCCACTTGGGAGTCCTCCTTGGACAGCTGAAGGATGCTGCCCTCCCTGGATTTCAGGTTTCTGTAACTACCCCTACCCACCTTACTAGCTTTTTTTTTTTTTTCAACCCAAGTTGTGATCCTCCTATTCTGCTGCTGACGGGGTTTCCTGTTTGGGATTTCTACACCCCCCCAGCCACCCTCACCCCAGCCCGTTTGTCACAGCATTTTGAGGAGGTTCTTTTTAGTTTCCAACCAGGATCATTTGAGGGGAAACCAGGTATAAATTTTGTTCCGGTGATTGGTTTCGGATGTCTCTTCAGTGAAAATTTGGACTTTCTTTTTCCGCTATAGGATTCACAATTAAGATCGAGACTCTTTATACAAAGGTAAAAACCCACATGCCCATTAGAAGCCAAGCGTGTAAACACTGAAGCCACCTGGCCCACGGAGGTGACAGGAAATGAGAAGGCACCATGTAAACCAAATTAAAAAGCCAGTTTGCCATCTGTACTTTAACCTTTGTGAAGCTATCACCATTGCAACCATCAGTGGATAAAATATTTTAACAGGAGGTATTTAAAAACAGTGATCAGACAACAACATGCATGGACCTATGGGGTATTATGTTAAGTAAAATAAGTCAGGCAAGGAAAGACGAATACCATGTAGAATCTGAAATACAAAACAAACGGACAAAACAGAAGCAGACACATAGGATACAGGAGGTGAACTGCTGGTTACTGGCAGAAGGGGGCGAGGGCAGGCAGAACAGGCGAAGGGGGTGAAGAGGTGCAGACTTCCAGGTCTAGCATAAAGAAGCCATGGGGATGTGAAGTGTAGTGTCAGGACCATGGTCCATAATATTGTAACAACTTTGTCTGGTGACAGGTGGTAGCAAGACCTGTCATGGGGGTCATTTCATAGTGTATAAAAATATCAAATCGCTGCGATGTTCACCTGGATATTGTATGTCATTCATACCTCAGTGAAAATAAATAAATTAAAATAGAGTAGTGATCAGACCCAGCAGTTGCATTTCTAGATATACGCCCAAGAGAATCAAAACCCTATATCCACACAAATTTGTACATAAATGTTCATAGCAGCATTATTAATAACAGCCAGAAAGCACAAACATCCATCAGCTTGATCAATAAATAAATAAAATATGGACTGTCCTGGCAGTGGAATATTATTCAACCATAAAAAAGGTTGAAGGTACCTGATATATGATACATGCTATAATGAGGATGAACCTTGTAAACATGCTAAGTAAAAGAAGCTGGTCACAGAGCACCAACATATTACATGATTCCACTTACAGGAAATGTCCAGAATCGGCAAACCTATAGGGAAAGAAAGTAGATTAGTGGTTACTGGGAGCTGGGGGGGTGGGGAGTGACTGCTAATGGGTTCAGGGTTTCTTTTTGAGGTCATGAAGATGTTTTGTACTAGATAGTGGCGATAGTTGCACCACTCTGAATATACTAAAACCATTGAATTGTACACTTTGAAAGAGTGGATTTCATAGTACCTGAATTATATCTCAGTTTTAAAAATATATATCAAAAACAGTAACTTAAAGTTCCTGTGTAAGCATGAAATCCCCTCTGTTAATTAGGCCAAGGAAAGCCGGATCCGCAGCACTGCCCTCTGGCTTCTGGGAGCTCCCCCAGCCTGAGGACAGCATAGACCAGCCTTTGAGGAGCTGCCCACTGGCACAGCAGGCGGCTCCCCTCGCCCCGGACTGGAGGCCCCTCCTCTGACCTGAGGCTCAGAGCGGAGGGTGAGGCCTTCCCCTCAGTCCTGGGGCCACAGGACGTGGAGGGAGAGCTGCTCCGCCTTTGCCCTTGTGGGTGACTGTATTTTGAGTATTCGAGCAGCGCGGCACAGCCACAGATACCAGGCCAAGGATTTGCTCCTTTTCTCCCTGTGCATACGGCTGCCCTTGTCACTGCCAGCCTCCTGGCCCCTTCATCCAGCAGTACAAGGCCTATATTCAGTTCATTAGGTGTCGCCTGTTTCTTCCCAATCTAGTAATCTTTAGTTCTGAAAAGTAAATAAGTCAGTGTTGCCAATAATACTCAGTTCTGTCATTTGTATATAAATGTCATTTAGATCTGTGCCGGCCAATAGGATTATACTGTATGAGCCATATAGGTAATTTAAATTTTTCTAGTAGCCACATTAACAAAGTAAAGAGAAATGGTCAAAATTAATTTTCATAGTATATTTTACCCAGCCTAATATGGCCAAGATGTTATGTCAGTGTGAGCAATATAAAAAGATCGTTGATGAAATCTGTCACCTTCTCCTTTTGAAATCTGGTGTGTATCTCACACTTACAGTGCACGTGCCTTCACGCTGGCCAGGCTGCTGCCATCTCACGGAGAGCAGCGCCTTGCTAGCTGTCCAGCCTGAGCCCAGCCATATGTAATTTCTGTGAGTTCCACTGGCAGCAGCTGGAGAACAGCCCATGGCCAAATTTCAGATCCCAAAAGGTATCCCTGATCTAGGAAAGACCGGCGTGTGAGCTGGGGCCGTTGGTGTCGATGTCCCTGTGCAGGAGCAGACATCGATATCCAGCCTGGGATTGTCATGTCCCCCTTGGTCTAGAGCAGGGATCAGCATGCCACAGGCAGGGCATTAGACAATATTTGAAAATCTGTTCATTGTTTTTTTGTTGTTCTTCAATTTCTAATTTATGCATGCTTTATAATGTACATTATATAGTTTACTATTATGCAAAAAGACTTCACAAATTGAAAGTTCCTGCTTAGGCTGCATGCCGAGTCACTGTGCAGTGTTCGGTCAGTTGTGGGGAGTTTGGGGGCTGTTATTCCGTTGGCATGACAGGGAGGAGAGAGTCTGTGGGCTGGGTCTCCGCCCGTCAGCCCGCTGCTTGTTTGGGGTTCCTTGCGGAGCTGGATGGAGCCATGGAAGAAAACGTGGCTGGGTTATTTTAAGCTGTGGTCCTGGCAGAGAGCTGATAGTGATGGCCAGGAGGAATGTTCTGGTTTGCCCATTTCTGGGTTCCCTAGAGTCAACCCAGCACTTTTCCCTCAGGCTAAGGAGATTAGCAAAAGGCCCGGAAAGTGCCAGCTCAACGGCCCCTCCATCTCTGAGCACACACACCGTTCAGGTCCCCTCTCAGCAGGCGAAGACCCACATGTGTAACTTCCAGCTCCAAACCAAGCCCACTTCAGCCTCCCAGACGGTTAACATGCCCTTTAACTTCCAAAGGATCTTTGTAGAATTTATCCAGGGTCGTTTTTCCCTCCCACCGTTCTTGCATGATAAACATTCTGGTTGTAGCACAGTGAGTCGTTCTTAAAAAGTCAGTGTTGTCACCTCTTTGGAAAGGAAAATTACTAATATTCTTGGTAACTCAGTAGAACCTCCAGCTCCCAAATGCTTGTGTGGTTTTAATGCTGAATGTCTGGAATAGCCCTGTTGAATATTCATGCTTATTTTCTCTTGACTTTTCCCTCAAATACGTGCACTTCGGAGGTGTTCGTTTCGTTTTGAATGTAATGTAATGGTTTTCAGAAACGAGTGAAAAGGATGCCCTCCTCCTGTGTAAGAGCCTTTAAAGACTTTTCTACACCAACAAAGCCAGTTGATTCCAGAATCTTCATCCTGCTTCTCATTTTTCTAACGTTTAATTGAAATCCATTTTGATTTATGAATTCCAGGATTGAAACAGCTTAGTTTTGAGGAGCTTGTCTGATCGAATGCAGGGGAAATGGATCTTGAGCACAGGGTGCTTGTGAGAAGAGAGTGAGGGAGGGGACCCTTCCAGCACTGTGAGCGGCTGTCTTCTGGTCTGTCCCTGCACACAGGCATTTTTTTTTTCCCCAAGAATCACACGCATCAGTTGGCTTGGTTCAAAACAAGTCTGAGCCCATGCCTTGTTTCGTTACTTTGGGAGAATGAGACCCTCTGGAAAATCACGGGTTTCAAACTTCATCTGTGTTTCTTTGGGGCTGCCCACAGTTTGTGCCCGCTCACGGGTGTGGGCGTGAGTTACTGATGGCTGTGCCTCTGTGGCTTAGTATTAATTCTGATATGCTCAGGGTGTATTTTGGCTAAATTCCTACAGTGTTTCTGTATTGATCTCAAAGCGAGGCCACACGGCTGCCTTCATCATTGCCCCCAGTCGTGGAAATAAATAATGAACGTGCCAGGCTCTTTCCTAATGGACTGGCAACTGGGAGCAGGATAGTTCGGACAGCAGCTAAAACCGACAGATGAAGACATGCCCCTAGGTTAGAGTCTCTAAGGACTTTACAGAAATTCCAAAGTAAATTTTTTTCAAATGACATATATCATTTGAAACTTTTGACAAAATATCATTTGATTAACAATGATGGGCAGCAGAGGCCGCCTTTCATCAGCATTCATCTCTGTTTCACTCCACCTGAAGGAAAGGCCCCCGGTCAGCACTCGGTGAGAACAGCCTTTGCATTTCTGTCTTTCAATCTGACACCGTCTTAGCCACAAGGTGAACTCAGAGAAAGCAGCTTGTAGGCCGCACATGTTTTCCTCGGTCATCCAGTGATGAGTTCTTCTCCCAGGGTCACCCGCGGGTGGACCGTGCCTATCCATGGGTCGATGCCACTTTCCCAAACATTCCCCTCAAAATAAGAGGTTTTTTTTTTTTTTCGGGACATTTTTGTTTCCCATGGCAGACCACTAAGCATCTTCTTCTGTGTGTCCCCTCTGCCGTCTCCACCCCCCGTGTGCAGGACGATGAGGCTGACGCCGCAGGCACGGAGATGGAGATCCTGCGGGGCCACTGCGGGCCTGTGTACAGCACCAGGTTCCTCGCCGGCAGCTCAGGGCTGCTGTCTTGCTCAGAAGACGTGTCCATCAGGTACTGGGACCTCGGGACTCTCACCAACACTGTGCTGTACCAGGGACACGCCTACCCTGTGTGGGACCTGGACATCAGCCCCTACAGCCTGTACTTCGCCAGCGGGTCCCATGACCGCACCGCGAGGCTGTGGTCATTCGATCGGACATACCCGCTGAGAGTATACGCAGGACACTTGTCTGACGTGGACTGTGTCAAATTCCACCCTAATTCAAACTACTTAGCTACAGGCTCGACGGACAAGACCGTCCGGCTGTGGAGTGCTCAGCAGGGGGACTCTGTGCGGCTCTTCACGGGCCACCGAGGCCCTGTGCTTTCTCTTGCCTTTTCTCCCAATGGTAAGTACTTGGCATCTGCTGGCGAGGACCAGCGGTTGAAGCTATGGGACCTGGCCTCTGGGACCCTTTATAAGGAGCTGAGAGGCCATACAGACAACATCACCAGCCTCACCTTCAGTCCGGACAGTAGTCTGATTGCCTCCGCATCCATGGACAACTCCGTGCGGGTCTGGGACATCAGGAACACGTACTGCAGCACACCTGCTGACGGCTCCTCTGGAGAGCTGGTGGGTGTGTACACCGGGCAGATGAGCAACGTCCTGAGTGTGCAGTTCATGGCCTGCAACCTTCTCCTAGTGACTGGAATCACACAAGAAAATCAGGAACACTGATTTTTATCTTCGGTGCAACAGGCCTGGGCAATAGTGGAAAGCCTCCGGGTCGCAAGTCTTAGGACAAACTGAGATCGAATCACTGACTGGCTGTGAAAGACTCCCACGCCTCCCCCTACCCCTGGCAAGACATCCTGAGTGCATGACGCCTCTCCACTCGGCCCCCGAAGTCCAAGGACTGGGGACGAGGAAAGGCAGTGGTAAGTGGATGTGAGGTCAGCTTTCAAGTTCCTACAGAGACCCTGCCACGCCCTCCTGCGAGCGCCTTCAGCTCGGGCCTCTGCCCCATCTCCCTGTGGGTAAAACTGAGGTGCTGCTCCTCCGCTCCGAAGATGCCTGCGGATGGCCTGGCCAGGAGCAGGGCCCCGCGTTGCGGGCAGGACAGAGTCTTTGGTGTAGGAATGCGGGGTGGGAACTAGGAAAGGGGGCAGGGGTCATCCTGGCAGAAAGTCTCTCCTTATCCATCATCACAAAGAACCAGGATTTTTTATTATTGTTATTATAAGTATAATAATAATTATTATTATTATTGAGAAGAGGAAACCTAGCCCTGGCAGAGGGGCCTCCTCTGCTCTCATCTTTCAGGTCTTACTCCTGGCACTGGCTGTGATACTTGGGGTTTTGAGGTTCAGGGAATTCAGAGAATTTGGTAGCACGGTGTATTGGGAGAGAGGGGAAATTTCTGGGTGACAGAGTGATCGCTCCAGCCGATGTGTTCTGGAAGTGGGTGGAGGGTCAGGTTGAGAAGCCTTGGGTTCTTGCAGTGATGGGGGGGTGAGACAGATCTTTTCCGTGGCTGCACTTTTAGCAGCTCTCTCCCCCGAAATGACAGGTTGTGATAGACAGGAAAAGAATTTGAAGTGATAAAGTCAAAAGATAGAAATTGTTGGATTTCCAGATGATGATTTATTCAGAGGTGTGGCTTTTTCCACGTCTTTTCCTCCTGAGACCACCCACTCCCACCTCCTGCGTTGAAAGAGCAGCTCAGTGAACACTTGGTAAAATCGTAGGTACACATGCACGCTCGCACATAAAACTGATGCTTTGAGGATAAAGCAAGTTCTGATTTGTGGGAAAAGGATGAAATATTTCTGTTTTCTGAAAAGAGTTATTTTGTATTTTGTTTTCTATTAAAATGCATTTAGTTTCAAAAAATAAAGTGTTGGCATCTCATTTACACTGAGGACAGGCGGGCTGTATGGTCTGTCTGCGGTGACGTACAGCTCACCCCTCGTGAGGGTAAGAGCCAATTATGTAGGCCACCTGAGTCCCAGTGGAGGTGCATTTTAATATGTTCCTGTGTTCTCTTTGGCTTACTTTGAATGATGATTCCTCTTGGCATTCACATGGATTATTGATGACATTTAATCCTGTGTATACACCCAAGATTGCTAACAGGAGATAACACATATTTTATCATCTACAGGTATTTGCTAAGATCCTACTTTGGGTTTTCTGAAGATCCCATTATAAAATATCTACATGGCATCATAAGAACTGTGTTATTTAATTAACTCCAACTATTTATTTATCAAACAATTTCAGATAAAGGACTCATTCAGAGATTTAAATGATGTCAGCATTTTTTAAATGTACTTCCAAACATAATTTTCTGGCGAGGACACCAAGAACTATTGGGATACTAAATAGGAAGATTCTAGAATCCTATGCCAAAAAAAAAGTTTTTTTACTTGAGCCTAAGATGCTTATTAATAGGAAATGTTTTTTATTCATAAAAATGTATATATTTGAAGCTTTGAAAGAAGGATCCTCTGGCAACTTAGTCAGACAGCATCACCTGCCACATGTGCTGCAGGTAAAGCCTAGAATTCAAATGTGTTCTTATCTATAATAAGTGAACTCTTACATTAGACTGTGTGGTATATTACTAGAAACATTAAAGTCTCTAAATTGGGCTGACCTGTTCTCAGAGGTAGAAATATCACTGATTTGGGGAGCTTTTATGTTTGTTTTTAATGCAGAATTTCTTTGATTAAACACAAAAATGTGTTATTAGGTTGGTCAGTCTTCATAGTACCAATCATGTATATACTTTGTGATTTCAGCTCAAGCTCTTAATGATCTGTATATTTGGCCTTTTTTTTTCCTTTTGTGAACTGACTTTCAACATGGGGTAATTCAGCTTTATGGAGTGCGCCTCACAATTTCCCCAAAATCTTAAAAATACTATAAAGGGTGTGTGTGTTTTTGCCCACAAGGGTCCATAAGAACATGGTCACACGCTTCAGATGGCTCTCTTGCATTGATTTTACTTTATCTGCAGAGCAATCCTGGGAGTTGGACAGGCCTGGTGGCTGTACCATTTTGTAAATGAAATACCCAAAGCCCAGGAAAGCTACATTATCTATACCCACCAGGGAAAGCCACATGTCTTGGATGTGCATATACAGAATCTAGATTCAGCAGGCTTGAGTTCTAGCTGGAGGGTATTAGAAAAAAAAAATGTTAAACCCTCCAAAAAGGAAATATGAATATCAATAAGCTATTTAACAAGCATACATGCAGTGTTCACTATCTGCCAGAAACCACCCCAAGATCCTATTGAAAATAGTTCATTTTATCTCCATTAACAACCTTATTTTTATCCCCGTTTTACAATAAGGAATCTTGAGACACTGATGGATTAAGTCACTCAGCAAAGGGTCCCACAGCAAGTTGTCAGAGCCAGAATCCGAATCCAGGCTGTCTGGTTCCAGAGCCCGTGGTCTGGTCCATGCTGTTGTCTCCCTTCACTTCCATAGGACCAGGCAGAGAGTGACCTGTGGTCTATACAGTGGCCTTTGACCTCAGCACCAGGGAGCACCAACCTCCCACACAGCTGAAAATCCATGTGTATGACTTGACTCCCAATAGCCTACTGTTGACCATGAGCCTTACCAATAACGTAAAGAGTCAGTCAGCGCATTTGTATGTTACATGTGTCATCTACTGTGTTCTTACATAAAGCAAACTAGGGGAAAGAAAATGATTTTTCAAAGTGTCAAAAATCTCAAAAAAAAAAAAGTTCCAATATATTTATTGGAAAAAATCTGCGTATAAGTGGACTCACACAGTTCAAACCTGTGTTGTTCAAGGGTCAACTAAATGTTCCTGCAAACAAATAAGCCACAGGCAGGGTCAGGAACTGGTGATCGGGACACACTTAAACAGTATATGGCTAAGAAACTTCAGAATATTCTGAACCACAGTGATAAATCTCTGCAGTATGTTAAGGTGGGGGAAAAAACAGCTGAAATCTCTTCAACTGACAGGCTTAAAAAATCTGACTGTAATTTTAGTTTAGCAGTGGACTGGCCAAAAGAGAAAATGAGGTTACAGGAAAGTAATTGAATAGAGATGAAATGGGAAACAATTTAAAGTTTTATATTTAAGATACAGCTTTTAAGGCTATCTAGGATTAGTACCTTTTCATTTGCTTTATTCTCAAGCAAATTCTTTAATTCTTTATTTGCTTTATTCATGTATTTAAAATGTCTTGGTTGTATAAAAAAATCTATTGAATATGTAGGCTTCTAATTTTGCTATGGATTAAAAGATGAGTCTCTACTTCAACGTGTGTTTCAGTTGCATGTTTTAGAAAGTTGTCTATTATATCTATGCCTGGCCCACATCAAAGATTCCTATCATTGACACCTAAATCCATGTGTATGACTTGACTCCCAATAGCCTACTGTTGACCATGAGCCTTACCAATAACGTAAAGAGTCAGTCAGCGCATTTGTATGTTACATGTGTCATCTACTGTGTTCTTACATAAAGCAAACTAGGGGAAAGAAAATGATTTTTCAAAGTGTCAAAAATCTCAAAAAAAAAAAAGTTCCAATATATTTATTGGAAAAAATCTGCGTATAAGTGGACTCACACAGTTCAAACCTGTGTTGTTCAAGGGTCAACTAAATGTTCCTGCAAACAAATAAGCCACAGGCAGGGTCAGGAACTGGTGATCGGGACACACTTAAACAGTATATGGCTAAGAAACTTCAGAATATTCTGAACCACAGTGATAAATCTCTGCAGTATGTTAAGGTGGGGGAAAAAACAGCTGAAATCTCTTCAACTGACAGGCTTAAAAAATCTGACTGTAATTTTAGTTTAGCAGTGGACTGGCCAAAAGAGAAAATGAGGTTACAGGAAAGTAATTGAATAGAGATGAAATGGGAAACAATTTAAAGTTTTATATTTAAGATACAGCTTTTAAGGCTATCTAGGATTAGTACCTTTTCATTTGCTTTATTCTCAAGCAAATTCTTTAATTCTTTATTTGCTTTATTCATGTATTTAAAATGTCTTGGTTGTATAAAAAAATCTGAATATGTAGGCTTCTAATTTTGCTATGGATTAAAAGATGAGTCTCTACTTCAACGTGTGTTTCAGTTGCATGTTTTAGAAAGTTGTCTATTATATCTATGCCTGGCCCACATCAAAGATTCCTATCATTGACATCTATGTAGCAGCAAGAAAATGACTCTGAAACTACTTTGTCATAAATGAAAAACCTTCATTATGGAATTTAAGGAATGCAAACATCCCTTGTCAGTTTGACTCACGAAAGGACAACTTAGATACCCCTGATTGAAGTTCCTAAAAGAAATATTTTTACATCAAATGTGTGAGTGTCTATTAGCAGACATTGTGTTGGTGGAGATACAGTGATAAGCAAAATTAATACAGTCCCTGGCTTAAGTGTGTAGTTTAGGGAAGGAGGCAGATATTAATAATATCATAAATAAATACATAATTTCAAACTGTAGTAAGTGCTATTGAGGATGCAGTAGAAGAATTTTCCAGGAATCTAATTTAGATTAAGCATTCAAGGAAAGCTTCCCTGAAGAATAATTAAGCAGAGGCATGAAGCGTCAGGCAGGAGTCAGCCGCGCAGAGTTCAGAACGGTGGTCCAGACCCTCAGATGGGAAAGAACCAGGTCCAAAGACACCCTGCGGGGCTCAGCAATGTGAGCAAGAGCCAAAGAGGTGGCGTGGCGTGAGCCTGGGTAACAGGCAGGGCTGCGGGCACTGCCAGGAGCTTGGCTTCTTGTCCCAGGTGGGACGGAAGCCCCTGAAGAGTGGGGAACGGTGCGGTCCGATTCCCACCTCAGTGTCACTGGCAGCTGGAGGACACAGCATTTACAGCTGGAATTCCACTTCAACATGAGGGTAACAAGCAACACTTCCTGAACTCGGTCTCTGCTGAGCCCTGCAGGGCACAGCAGAATGAGGGGGAGTCAGCTGACGTGGCGAGCTGCCCCACGGAGGGGCCCCTGGGGCAGGGAACCAAGAGGAGCCTCAGACCAACAGCCCCTGAGGCTGAGTCCAGCCTGCACCTGCAGGAGTGAGCTTGGGTGCAGATTCTGCCCCACTGAGCCTTGGGTCAGACTGCAGCCCCGGGAGGCCCCTTGCCTGCAGCCTCCTGATCCGCCTTGAGACAGGCATCCAGTGAAGTCTGGATGCGAGATTCCCAACCCTCAGAAACCGAGAATAAAGGTTCTAAGCCTCTGGTTTGGAGTAACTTCTCATGTAGCAATAGATAACTAGCCCGTCCGTCCCACTCCCAAGTCCACTCTTTCAACTGCTACACTGTAGAAAGTGAAATAATTACTGATTTTAAGAAATCACTGGCAGCTATAAGGGACATAGATTGAGGGCTTCGGAGTGAGAGCGAGGTCAGCTAAGGTCACTGCAGCCACCCAGGGGGATGTGATGGCAACACGGACTGCAGGGGCACAGTGGAAATGAGACGTGGACAAGTCCAGGGAGTATTTTAGAGGGGATTTGGCTGGCCTAATGAAAACCCTGGAGGAACAGGAGGTTTGGGGGGAAAGACCAAGAGTTGTGTTTTGGACCTGTTAAGGTTAAGTGCATATGAGTGAAGGCATCAGAATGACCTCAGGGTAGACAGGCCCGGAGCTCAGGAGGGAGGCCTGGGCTGGACATGCTAGTTTGAAGACTATTCGTCAAGAGTGCCTTCTGCTCTAGGGACAGAAGTCTGGCTCCAAGTAGTTTTAAAAGTAAGGAATGGTACTGGCTTAACAGAAAGTCTAGAGGCACTGTGGGTTTCACATACTGCTCGCTAAGGGCCTGCCTCCATTCTGTAGGTCTGCTCTGCCCTGTCTGTGGGTGGCGCTATCACAGGCTAGCTCACAGCCACGAGGGCCAGGGACCCCCTCATGCCTAGTGGGGGTGTGAGCTTTTTTCCATTCCTCACTCGTAAGAGCAGGGGAAAAACTTCTAGAAGTCCCTCAAAGCTCTCAATTTGTAGCATGCCTGCTCACTGAACCAGCCCGGGCAAGGGCAAGAGACGCTGGGAAGTAGGTGGAATTTGAAGCCTTGCAGACAGATGCAACTACCAGGGAGAAGCACGTAACAGTGAAAGGAGATGAGCACTTAAGACTGTGCTTCCAAGTTCTGTAACACGTGCAGGTCAGAAAGGAAGAGATGCCAGCCAAGGAGGTAAAATAGGAAAGTGCTTCCAAACAGGAGTGGTCAGCTGCGCCGGTGCTACTGAGAATTCAAACAAGGATTGGAAAGCGTCCATTAGATTAGCAGGCAGGTGGCTCACAGCCTTAGCCCTGGCAGTTGTAATGACTAATGGAAACATAAAAAGCACTGAAATGGATCGAAAAGTGGAAAGTTATAGAAATACAAATACGGACACTTCATTTGTGACTGGTGACACAGAACAACAGAGGCGTGACGTGTTTTACCGCAGTGCTTAAAACAACTGGCTATCTACAGGGAAGCAATGAAATCAGACCATGACCTCACTCATCACAGAAATCAATTCCAGGTAAATGAAAGACCTAAATGCAGCCATATAGAGCGTTTAAAAGAATGTCCTCATGACCTTGGGGTAGGAAGACATTTTTAAAGAAGCAAAAAGCCCTAACCAAAAAGGCAAAATATTGATTAAATTCAAAAAAATCCATTCATCAGACTCACAATGAGATATCACCTCACACCAGTCAGAATGGCTAATATCAAGACAAGAAATAAGTGTTTGTGAGGATGTGGAGAAAAGGGAACCCTTGCACACTGCTGATGAGATTGTATGGGTGCAGCCACTACGAAAAGCAGTATGGGGGTTTCTCAGCAATTCAGCCCTGGGAATTGATGCAAAGAGAACAAAATCACTAATCTGAAAATACATATGCCCTCCTATGTTTATTGCAGCATTATTTACAATAGCTAAGGCACAGAAGCACCATTAATGTCCATTAAAAGATGAATGGGTAAAGAAGAAATGAAGAAAAAAAAAGTATACATACACAACAGAGTATTATTCAGCCATAAAAAAGAAATGAAATATTGCCGTTTGCAACAACACAGATGGAGCTAGAGGGTATTGTGCTCAGTGAAGTAAGCCAGACAGAGAAAGACAAATGCCGCACGATTTCACTTACATGCGGAATCTCAAACAAACAAAACAAAACTGAAATAGACTCATAAACACTGAGAACAGACTGGTAGTTTCCATAGGGAGGCTGAGGGAAATAGGGTGGAGGGAGAAAAAAATAAGAATATTAAAAAAAAAAACAAAAACTAACAGGCGTGAATGTGAGAAGTCGCTGTGATGCATGAGCAGCACACGCTAGTGTCTAGAGCAGTGCTGGGGGGCGGAATCGCAGTCAAGGGGGGGTGTTCCCACCCCCGCCCATCCTGCCTCGGGGAGCGCCCTGTGGGGAGGGGAAGCTGCGGCTAAAATAGGGATTGTAGAACTGAAGAACTGAGGGTTTGTTTATCAATTTAAATGTAAATAACCAC